TGTGTGTGTGTGTGTGTGTGTGTGTGTGTGTGTGTGTGTGTGTGTGTGTGTGTGTGTGTGTGTGTGTGTGTGTGTGTGTGTGTGTGTGTTTGTGTAGCTGGGAGGGCTGGGCGATTGCGTGTGGCATCAACGGCAACTGAAAAGCATCCCCGAGCTCGAGCCTTCGTTTCCCCCTCATGCTTCTCCCCCGACATGGCAGGCACAGTGTGCCTTCCTCTTGGGCCCGCTGCTATAAAAAGCGCATAAACGAAGCTCGGTGCATAAACTGTCTGCAGGCATCACCTCTACCGCAGCGTTTGGATGCTCTCTGCCTGTTTTCGATGGCTGCCAGCGCATGCCGGGACCATCCCAAGGGGTTTTGGCTTTGGCCAGCTCCCGGGATTCGTGGAGCGGCCCCCCCCTCAAAAACACGGCTTGCAGCAACCAGCTTCGGAGCGACGCTCAGGCTACGCTCAGGACCAGTCTGCCAGGTCCAGGCCCAAGCTGTACTGCGTCTCCTCGTTCTCCTCAGGGGCACGTATGAAGCCCAAAAATAACATGCTGTCGCAATTGGACCACACCTAAGATTGCATGTGGCCGTGTCCTGCAGGTAGACGCGGATGCTCAGGAAGTCCGTGGGGCAGGCGGTTTCGCACCTCTTGCACCCAACGCAATCCTCCACGCGGGGTGAGGATGCCACCTGCTTGGCCGCGTTCACGGTCGCGGGCACCATCTCCAGGACGTCCGTGGGGCAGGCACGGACGCAGAGGGTGCAGCCAATGCAGGTGTCGTAGATCTTCACCGCGTGGGAGCGCCGGGCCAGCAGCGCGCGCTTCTGCGTCACGCCGGCGGCGGCGCCGGCCACGGCCGCAGCCCCCGCCAGGCCCGCCAGGCCGGCGAAGCCCCTTTCGGAGTGCGAGGCGCCCGCGGCCGGCCGCTGAGCCACGTGGAAGCCCACGGGCACGAAAGCCTCCGAGGTGAAGCGCGCCAGCAGAGCAACCACGGCGGCAACGCAAAGCAGCTGCATGGCTGGAAGGGCACGCTCTACTGCTGGAAAGCCGGTGCAAAATCCTGCGGGATCGAAAAGAATTAAGCTCCTGGCCAACCCACTCTCTTCAGAAAGCTTTCGACGTCATGAGCTCCCAATGGAAAGGAAAATCCTACAAGTCATTTTGCCCGGTGGAACGACATGTCACCCAACAAGCTGTGCCTTTTCGCGGTTTGCTGAGGCGTTCCAGCCACTGCGCGTGCACAAGGAGCTGTGACTTACTGCTGCACAACGCGAATTGCTCAGGAGCCGTGGATCATCACCTGGAATCTTGAAAATTGGAGGGGTCTTGCTCATTCAATCACCCACCTGGTCTTTTGTGATGATGGCGGTCACTTCAATCAAGAACTCTGCCACCTGGAGCCGGCAGAAAAGAGCTGGCATGTGCATGCAAGGGCTCAGCGAGCCACTCGACTAATTTCAACTTGCCTGGCCTCCTTGCGAATGTCGCCCTGTAGCTGCATGACACTGCCGTGGTCCGGGTCCTTGATCAACACCCCGTTGGTCTTGAAGGTCCTTACGCCAAAAGGCTGCTCTTGATGGCCAAGTGGCCTGCACTGCTGCCAAGCTACTTCTTCAGCGTCCGCAAGATCTTCTCGAAGTCCACCTGCAGGACCTTGCCTGAGCTGAAAGTCGAAGGCATGGCGTCGAATTGACCAAAGACACCGGCTTCCAACTGGACATCAAACGGATTTCGGCCTCACTCCATGGGTCTCGGGGGCATTTCTGAAAGGGCCAAACCGCAAGCCAAGCAGCCAGATTTTGGAAGTCTCACCTGACATGGGCTCTTGCTGGAGTTCGGACTCGTGATGGCAATCAAAAAGATCAGCTCTAAATGATTGCCAACATGGGAAAGGGGCTCCTGGCTGGCCCTGGACAGCCACTAAGTAGAAATTTGTGGAACCAACTGCAAAGGTCGGCTGGCGCAAAGAGTTCTTCGGATTGCCCACCGCTGGCGCACACGCCTGCTCAGGAAAGCCAGCCACGGTAGTCCAGGACTTGCGGCCGTTTCGCTGCTGCATTCGGACGTGCACCTGCAGCCAGCCGCAAGGGAAGCGGTGACAACGGGCCAAGTGCGCAATGCTTCGTTGCGTCAGCTGCCAACATGCACCGCTACAGCTGGCACGTGGCCCAAGCCTTGTTGCTCTTGCCATCGTCCTTGCCCTCCAAAATCAAGCCGTCCATGGTGATGGGCTGAAATGTGCACACTCGACCCAAAACGTGCTGCGTGGCACACTATTCACTACTTGCACTTCACAGGACGCATTGACAAGAACTTGACAGATCAGCCGCATGATGCTAGCGGTGCGCACTTGTGTTTGGTCCAGCGGCTCTGACGCTTTCAAGCCGCTGCACTCATCTGCACTAGGCCCGTCCTGAGAAAATTCACACACATGTCAGGTCGTCTGTTTCCACAGAGTTCTTTCTTGGCTATTGGATGCTCTTTGCGCTCTTGCAGGCTTTGCTATTGTTGTTCCAGTTACCAGCAATTGCAAGCTCACACTTTTGAATTTGATTGTGTACGGGTTGCTTGCCAGACATGTGCTCTGTCATCTCCTTTTTGCCTCCCTTCGTGAGTGCCAAAACAAGCGCGAAGACTCCACTCTGCCAACCACCTTGGGCAGTGGCACAGCTCAACGACCTCACTTGCCGGTGTTTAACCGACCGCCCGAAGGACACTCGCGAACCGAAAGCTGGCGCTGTGGCAAACAGCCCGGACAGGGCAACGGGTGTTCCACCCGCTGCCCAAAACTCGTGAGACACACAAAATCTCAAGCAAGGCCTCTTCGAGGCCTTGTTTGCCAAAAAAAAGCAAAACGCTGCGCATCATTTCAGGCCAAGTGGCATGCTCTGAGATCGGAAGCGCTATCGACACCTCGGCATAAACATGTTTAGAAAAGGTATCCATGTCAAATCTACGCATCTGTGTAAGAGTTGCCCGGCATCAGTTGCCTGCCAAGTTATTCTTGACTTGAATTTGGGACCAAGCGGCGCAATGCCGCTCCTTGCGTCAAGTGGGGAGGCTGCGCATCTGGCGCCACACGAAACCTGGCAGTGCTCAAACTGGCTTGGACCTGTTCCTTCAAGTCCGTGGCGGGTGTGTTCCAAGACACCTGGACCAGAGTCAAGCCACAATTGAAATCATGTCAGCCACGGGGTCTTCTCTAACCCCAATTCCCAGCATGAGCAGCTGCCAATAGTCACTGCCACTTGAATGGTGAGCAGCCCCCAGTTCCTCATGCTTCATTTGGTGCGTGCGTCAAATGTCGCTCCCTTCACCGGAAGCGATCGTCCACAGCCATGGCACCTCGCGGCAGCACGGGGCCGCACGGCGCCGGTGCTGGCGGCGCGCGGGTCCCGCTGCGCCTTGAGCTCGGCGAAGAGGCGCCGGCGCTGGACTGCTTCCGCGCGAATCCTCGAAACGAATCTGCGCAAATGCCTGGTGCCAGCCATGCCCTTATTCCCTAGAGTCCAGAGCATTCCTCGCTGGGATTGCCCTGGCTGGGATTGTCCCAAAAGAGTGAGAAAGCTGGCGGCCAGGCTGCTGCTTGTTCAGCTCGTGCGTCTCGTCCTCCACTCTCCGTGCAATTTCCTTCTCGATCTTCCTTGCGAACAGCGCGCGCGAGTCTGCACAAACCGCTAAATGCCAGGAGAGCCAAAACGGCAAGGACGCTTTGGCTCTCTTGAGGTTTCGCACCCGTTCTACCCCTGTCCTCTGCAGCGTGCTCTGCCCGGCAGATCGCAAGGGCTCGGAGGGTGTGGGATAGTGTTGTTCGACCTGGGGCGAGATCGCAGGACGCAATTCGCCAGATCGCAAGCGGCAAAGAAGCTGCTGCCTCGGATTATGCCTCGAGCGACCCTCAATTCCTGCAATCTGCCAACAAAATGAAGGGCAACTGGCTGAGAAGCTGCAAAGGGTGCCCCAGTTTGAGGAGCTTTGAAGCACAAATTGCGAACTGGGGATAAAGATGTTATACATAATAATACTATATATAGATACTGTATATTCATATACATGTTCCCTTCGAAGCGCACATGTCCAATAGAGACCAGCTCTCAGGCAAGGCACTGCATGCAGGAACAGGCGGTGTGAAAGCTCTTTGGCCTGAAGTGCTTGAGTCGGCTCGAAATATCTCACGATTCAAATGCCTTGCCTCTCCATCTAACATGCAAGAATCCTTATCATGCCAATGCATCCAAATGTGCCGTACAGCCCTCGCCCCTCCCCACAACCCCTGCCTTGCCCGCGCGCAGCAGCTCCAAACCGGCGGCATCCAGCTCCGCCAGAGAGGCGCAGAGTTGCAGCTCGTTCTCCTTCCTCCGCTCAGAACAAGAATCGAGGGCTTCGCCACATGGAATTGCAAAGATCTACTCTCAGGCACAGGGGCAGAGGTGGCAGGCGCCCCCCAAAACGCACACAGCAAATGATGCAAGTGCACCCAGCCCACAAGCGTGGAGGCCGTTTGATATAGTGATGAAGCCTGCACTAAGAGAAGTGCTCAGCTGTAGTCCAAGCGTCTGACACAAGCGCGTGAATTCGATGCACTGTTCCGTGGATGCGACCTCAGCTCAGATTAAACCCCTGCCTCACAGTGCCTGACAAGCGTGCTCAACTGTCATGCCGCCCAGGCACGTCAACAGACATCAGTGCTGGCACAGGCTGCGAGCTACCATGTGGGGGTCTGATTTCATTTGTGTTCACCGTCTTGCAGTCATTGTGCAAATGAAGCCTAATATAAACATACACTTGATGAGTCAAGTATGTGTGTGTGTGTGTGCACGCATGTCCGTGAACGTGTTTCAACAACAGCTGGCGCTGCGAAAAAACGATGAAGAAGCAGTGCATTCGCTTCCTGGCTACGCTGCACCCTTGCAAATGAGAGCCACTGGGTCTGGAAATGATTCGCTCAACATACCTGGACGCCCTCCAAGTCTGCATTCCTTGAGATGTCGGCCTAACCTCCCGACTCAGTGCCGCACATTGCGAGCTCCTTGCACGGCTTGGACCGCTGAAAGGGCAAGGGGAGCACGTCTTCCCAAAAAAAAGCGGGCCAGGTGTTGCGCCTTGGCAGTCGGCCGCGCCCTTGGGTCTCGGCTCATGAGCCTCAGCTGGAGCTGTGGGGATGCCCCAAAGCCGTTCCTGGATGCAAAAGAAGTCATTCTCGCCTGGCCAGCCCTGATTGTCTGGGATTTGTCATTTATCTCACATCTTGTTTGCCAAGATAATGGCTGCCACTCTGCTCTGGGCACCAGGCGCCGTCAGAGTTGACAAAAGGGCTTGGGAGTAGCACTCCTGAGCACCTTCAGGCAGGGAGTACCTTGGTTTCGGGCTGCTGCTCAACTCAGGATGCACGCACACTTCCGGCCTGACGTGAATGTTAGCCAAACGGCCCTCCATCGGAAACGCGTGCACGGCGAAGAGCATCTGGCAACAAGCGCCAGTGCAAGTTGGGGAGCGCGAAAGGCTTGCGTCCAGGCAATGTTCAAAGCCCAATGCCAACAGCGCACGCCTGATAAAGGCACAGCCCCAGCATAAAAAGATCTGCAGGGCAGCCGATGGGCAGCCGGACCAGGTCCGGATCCTTGGTGGCTTGGGCAACAGGAAGAACAGGCGGCCTCAAGCTGGATTTGTTGAATATGGATCCCGAATCCGCAAGCCGTCGCAGGACACCGCATAAGGACTGAGGAATGATTTGAATCCTGTCCAGGCTCCTATCTTGTATCAGTTTCCAAGATAGGCATTAAGCTGAGCAAGCCAAAGTGCGCGCATCACATGAAAGGGCGGGCATCTGAGTCGGAAGGTCATTGGCCCATGGCTTTCCCTCCCCTGAGCCCCAGGCTGCCAGCTCCGGCGGCCGGAACATGGGCGTGGTCCTCTGGGTGAAGAAGAGGTCCACCTCCCAAGGCCCGCAGCCCGGCCGAATTGGGCGGCCCCTCTCACCCTCTCACCTCCCGCACCACGTGGCGTGAAGAGTCTGCGCCGAACTCCGGCCACCTCCAAGTCGGACGGCCGGTTCCGCCCCACGGCCCCACGGCCCCCATGGCGCCGTGACGGCAGACACGGGGCTCACTGGGACAGGCGCTGGCGCGAGCTCGCAGAGCCAAAGTCGCACAGCCGAAGGCGGCCGCTGCTGAACAGCACATTCTGGCGGGCGAGGAGCACATCTGCGGGGTCGGGGGCAAAAGCCATGGTCCAGCCTCCGGCTTCAGATCATAGTGCACCTAGCTGGGCTGTGCTTTTTTGCTCAAGGTGGCCAAATTTGGAAAGCGCGCAACTGACAGGTTTGCTTCACGAAGGCAAGAAATACAAAATCAAGGCTTCCGTTGCAAGGCAAACTGAACTGTGTATGTTGATTCGACATTAATTCTCTGTCGAACCTGATCCACAACACACAGTTCTAGCCTGCTGGGTGCCAAGCAATGCCCATGCCATGTAGGAAAGCGAGGCCCATTGCAGACTCTCGTAGCACTGGGATCGCTTCAGCCTGCATTTGGCCGACACTTGTACAGCACAGTTCTCCGTCCCCCTCCGGAGCTCGCTTCTTTCGACTGTCGCAACTGGCCGAAGGCTGTGGCAGCCCGATAACTGCGGACCTCGCCACTCATCCCATTAGGGAACTGAGAAAGCTAAGGCCCCTGAGAAAGCCTTCTTGCGAGACTTTTCGTGGAGACTTGATGTTCAGAATTGATTCATGCCCACACCGCACCACAGGAAGCGACTGCTGCATGCCTGACCGAGGTTGGCCAAGTTGTGAACGCAGGGTGAAGAGAGGATGCTCTTCATCCACCTGGAGAACGCGTCCACAGAAGCGATTGGTTGACATTTCTTCCAGGGAATAGCCAGCCGACTGGATCCACTGGCAAACCATCGTCATTGGAATGCAGGATAATGCACATAAGTGAATTGGGTTGAAATTTGCTGGCACATTTGCCTCCAGTGTTGCCACGATGGCGTCGGCAACGTAATTCACATGGACGAGGTTAAAGCCGGGCGGGAGCGGGCTGCGCGCGTCCAGGCTGATGCAGCCCAGGCGCGTCAAGCCAAGAGCCAACAGGCCAAGAGCATCCTTCGGATTGCTGGCGCCGGTGCCTGCGTCACCCCACACCGTGCCGGGTCTCAGCACCACTGCATCCAGACCGTGCCGGACGGCTTTCCACACAAGCTGCTCAGCCACCCACTTTGACTGCGCATAGCCTGACCGATGCAGCAGATGATCCGGAGAAACTTCGCGCACTTCGGCATGCCCATCAGGCAAGAATCCCAGAGTTGAGACGTGCACCAGCCTTGCATGGGACCGCAAGGCCAGGGCAACCACCTGCTGCGTCCCAAGCACATTTGGGGAATGCAAGGCCGAATATGTGCAAACGCCTGACACCTGTGCGGCACAATGAACTATCACAGAAGTGCTGGTTGAAACCATGTCCGCTGCCTCCTTTGACAGGCCCAAGTCGTGCAGCTCGAGGCCCGCAGTCGGAAGCACTTGGATGGAAGCCACGTCCGCCGCGACTTGGTAGAACCGCAGGCTCTTCAAGAGCCTCCTCTCAGCCGTTGCTTGGTCAGCAGCTCGGACCAGGCAAATCACAGGCCGGGCCTGGCCGGCGAGCCTTGCGGCCACGAAGGCTCCCAAGAACCCGGTCGCTCCGGTCAGCAACACGGCCTGAAGTGCCCCTTTGGGGCCTGCGGCCGGCCTCAAGCTGGCAAGCAGGGCCTGAAAGGCCGCGTCCGCATCAGCGCTCCAGTTCACAACAGCCCTCTTGGCTAAAACGTTCCGCACAGTTTGAGGTCCGCACAAAGCTACGCGCTCCAAATCTGCCAAGGTATCTATGGAGAATAACATTCCAGGAGGCACTTCTGTCCCGAAATGACGTGAGATTCTGGCAGACAAGCGCGCCACACCCAAAGAATCCAGCCCCAAAGCCGCCACAGAATCACCAGGCAAGAATGTCGTCTTCTGGCACAAGCTCTGCAAGATCTGCCGCAAGCCGTCACAAAGGGTCATGTCGGAGCCATTTGGGCGCCTTGAGGGAGGAATGTCCAAGTCGATGCCTTCCTTCCCAGCCAGGCGCGGCGCGTAGTGCCGGATCAGCGCGGCCCTGCTCAGCTTCCCAGCGCCCAGCTGAAACCGCTCGTCGAAGCGGTTCTCCAGCAGAACTTTCGTCGGCACCTCCCAGGGCCGCAAGCCTTTGACCTCCGAGAAACTCCGCAGCACTAGGTGCTGGAGCTCCCAGCCGCGGTCGGATGGGTCCAGGCCCAACTTGAGGAAGGCCTGGCTACTGGGCACCGCCACCGCTGCCACCGACTGCATGGAGCCGCAGCCCCAAACGAAGATCTGAGACACAAAGGGGCTCTGCAGCAAGCAGCTCTCGACCGGGTCCGGTGCCACATAGATGCCTTGAGCTAGCTTAAAGTGGTGCTTGCAGCGATCAATGACTCTTATGTTAGCGGGCGAGACTAGCTCGCCCACATCGCCAGTGCAAAAGTATCGCACACCTCCAAGCACTATCCAGTCCTCAGAGTCCCCATCCGCAGCAATTGTCCCGTCTGATTTGAGGCCCTCGAGATTGAAATAGCCGGTCATTTCCGGGGTCCTGGCCAATATCTCGCCCCGGGGAGGCCGGTCAGACGTAAGGTAGCCCATGTCTGGCAAGTCACGCAGCCGAAGCTCTGCGGAGCTTGAAACAGATCCATTGCTTGCCAGCCTGCCTGTCTCTGTACAGCCGTAGCAATCCAGCACCATCTTTCCAAAGATTCGCGTGAGCCAGCGTTGGACGTGATGCTGCGGCGCAGCACCTGTGGAGATGAGGGCGACTATGCGGTTGCCCAAAGGTGGCCGATTCAGCCACGCTTGCAACACGTCATTCCTAGCAGTTGGCTCAGGTTTTCCTCCTGCCTGCTCCTGGACCACCTCATCCTCAAACTCAGCATGAAGCCCATTCCAGAAGGTAGGCGGGGCAGCAAAAACGGTTGGCCGCAAAGCCCGCGCATCGTCCAGGATGCGATCGAGGGATCCAGAAAAAACACCTATTTGCCCGCCTTGCATTAACACATCGTGGCTTTGCCGAATGGCTTCATAGGCCTGGGGCTCTGGCAGTAGCAAACCAAACAACATCCAAAAACTACACAGGAACTCAGGAAACTCATAGTGCCATGACAATATCAAAGCCGAGTGGCATAAACGACAACATCCACGGCTGATTGCAGGTTGCACGCGGTGCCCGGCTTGAAAAGACCGCACTCGGTCACCGATATAAGCTTTGGCAGGCCTGTGCTTCCACTCGACGGCAACAGCTTAATCAATGACTTCGGATCACGAGCTGGCGCTTGCTGCAAGGGTGCCACGCTGCCCTGCTGCAAAACACTGATCCAACTCCGCTCGCACACCAGGCTGTCGGTTTCAGGAAGATGTTCGAAGGGCCGGCAGTACGAGTCTTCAGAGTCGTTGATCCAAATCACTGTTGGCACTTTTTTGCAAGCTATGCTGGCTTGTTGAACTATTTGCTTCAAGTGCTTGGACGCGACGAGGATGCAACAACTAGTCTGATCAAGTATGTGTGCCAATACCTTCGCATCTGTCGAACGATGCATAATAATTAGTGGTACGCCTGCAATGGTGCACGCAAAGTCTGTAATGAACCACTGTTCACTGATAGCGGCGAGAAGCCCAACGATGGGCCTCTTTGGCATGCTGCCCAGGCACTTTAATTGCATCTGCAGCCCAGCCCCGAAGCATACAGCTGCGTTGCCCACCTCTCTGTAAGAGCGCCAGCTACAGCTGGCAAAGCGAGAACGAGGGCACCGGCCCAAGCATGGCCGAGGGCCGTATACGTCAAAGGCAATCAGAAGTGCTTGCCCCGCGCAACGCGCTTGCCCAAAGGGCGCGGTGTCGACAACCAGCGGCTGAACCTCGCAGTGAAGGACCAGCTCATGGTCACACATGCCCCGACACCGCGCACAGGTGGTAACTTCGTTCAACCGCCCCCCGGTGTAAGCCACCTCCTGGGGCAGAATCAGCTTGCCACAGAAGCAACAAGAGCGCAGTTTGTGAGCATTCCTGAGGTGAAATAGCAAAGCACGGGGCCCATGCATGTAAAGCAGCTGCACCAAGTGGCAAACGCTGTTGCTGCTGCACCCTATCCAGGCCACCACTGCACCCAATCCTGCCACTTTCCACCAAGTGGTAGGACGGCAGGCAAACACAGTGCATTCCATGCTAGGCAAGCTGCCCAGTTTGTTCACTCTTGAAACCAGTTGTTCACTGCTTGTGTTGCTTTTAGCGTCATGCCACGCATTGTGTTCTCCGGCATGCGCTCCTCTTGCTTTGATGTTAACCTCGTTTCGGCTTTAGGGACTATATAGAGGGTGCAACGAACACCGGACAACTTTGCAAAGAAAAAGAAAGCCATGTGAAAGTGTTGTACGTACAGCTTAAAAACTCATCGGGGAGATTCCACAAAGTGGCCAACAAATCCTGAAGCTTCCAACATTTCGAGCCATGCCATGTGCTTTCAATTCAGCAATCTCAGCCGTGCAGAGAAGAAGCTGCGCCTCTGGCATATTGGGGCAGCGCCTGAGGTCTCCCCCCTACCTGCTTCTCTGAGAACGGCATGCAGGCTGCACAATTTTAACACTGCGCTCATTCAACCAAGGCTCGCAATTGCGACGCTCTCTCCACGAAGAACTCGGTCCAGCAAGCAGCCGCCAGCACACCATTCCATCAGCAGTTGCACCTGCAAACGCAGCGAGGCATCTCCATGTTACCCGGCACTGGCCATCCCACTCCTCATTCCCTGAAAGGAACTGCATCAACGACATTCAACTGAGGACTGGCATGGAGCGCCTCTGCGCCAGTCCGCCCATTTCCGCGGCAGGGGACTTCCTCGCAGGCAGCTGGCACCCTTCCAGTCTTTCCGACGAGCTTACGCTTAGTTTGCCATCAACAAAGCTCGCCTTGTGGGAAAAGTACTGCACGATAAATTCACGTCCTGCTCCAGAGCCCTGGCAGACAGCAAGTCCGGGGAGTTTTCGGCACGCACCAGGCACCTGGGCTACGCGCTTTAGAATGTCCACCTCGTTGATCGCAAAATCCAGCCGCTCTTCATCCTGTCCCCAAACCCTCGTCCGATCCAACAAAAAGACACCCCCCCCACTAGTCTTTCCAAGCACAGGCGAATCTGCATAAATGGCGAGTTTTTCCGAACGAGGAGGCGAAAAGAATGCCAACCCTGAAAGCAAATCCTTAGTGTTTAGCACTGAGCGAACCATAAGAATCAGTTCATGTCAAGCTTGCATCCTGTAACATGGTTCGGGTCCAGAAGGGCGAGTTATGGCACAAGCCGCAACAAATCAAGAGCATCCTCATGCTTCACGAGCCACTAGCTCTGGATTCCGCTCCTGGCAAATCGTCTTTTTCAACGCCATGACTGCGGGCAGGGTTTCGTCTGCTGGACCACGATCCGCCATCAAGCGAACCCGCCTCATCCAGCAGAGGTGAGGAAGAAAAAACATGTCGCTGCAGCTTGTCTGATGCCAAGGCACCAAATGGTGGAAAAGCCTCCTTCGCCCACCTTGGCCTCCTCGCGCACTTGCAGGCCATCGATGTCGTGCTGCTGCGCCTGAGTTTTCGCTGAAGCTGGCAAAACAACAAATTCACTCTGCTGGGCTTGTGAGAAAGAATTTTTCGGCAACTCAAGCAGCTTCCTGGATACCAAGCTGACAACGGCAAACATATTGTTTACTGCCCAACCGGCTGACCATTGGCACATTGCGACCCAGTAATCATTCGCAAGAACTAGTTCCTTCAGCACCTTCGCTGGAGGTTCAAAAACTGAAAACTTTGCAAGGTCCTCCTAGATTAGATTCGTGCTTACAATGCGTTTCCCCCTACGTCCCTCGCGGGAATCCCGGGTTCCTACTCGGATCTGCCAACCCATCTGCCGAGCCGCCCTCAGGGCAGCGCACCACGCAAACATGATGCTCCATGTTTCACGGTCAAAACGACCCAGTCTCAAGCTCCTGAGAATGGAGAAACAAAACATGCAAGTACTCAGGGCCACCCCCAAGTACAACTCGATGATTGTTGACACATGCGTTGCTACAAGCACGCGCACACACACACACACACACACGCGCGCGCACAAATTCACGCTGCGCCAGTTGTTTCGATGCTGTTCTAGACAACGCCCATAGTTTAAGGTGCTTCGGCTTGCGAAATGTTGCCACAAGTTTGCTACAAGCCACAACACTGCAGCAACCAGGTTGTGGCGATCATGCTGAGAACACGCAACCTTTTCATAGGAAACAAGGCACCATATTCATCACATGAAATGTATTCGTTGGCAAGCTTGCTTCCGACTCGCAAGTGATGACTCTGAGTAGAGATTGTAGCTTGTTTGCTGATCGGAGCTGAGCATTGGGAAGTCAATGCCGCGTGTTGGAAGCCAAGCATGCACTGGCAAAGGAAATCGCACGCGGTCCATCTGAGCGGGCGGCCAGAAGTCAGATGGAGATGGGCACTCAACAAGATTGGAGGTCATACGATGAAGGGAGTCTAAGCATTCCGGATCTCATTGTTTTGTTTAAGGACAAAGGGATCCAAACTCTGGCGCTCACATTTTGCCGAGCGCTTCACCCGCACGTTCAAGGACTTGTTTAAAAAAAACAAAGCCGATGAAACAAGGGAAAGAGTGACATACACCGGGTGGATTCCATTCCCGAAGTCATTGCTTGGTATGACCCTAAATGATGCCCACGAAAAGGGAACCATTTTGAGGTCAAGAATAACTTGAAATGAAGGTATTCCCTGTTCATGCCACATCGCCTGCCCCGCCCACTCCCTTGTCCGGGCCCCTGCCGCTGACCCACAGCTGGATTATTCTCCCCTTGCTGTTGGCAGGCGTTCGCCTCCTTCGCACGGAAGAGGTATGAAGTCCGGGTGGCCGACGGGTGTCCCCAGAACGAGAAGCCGCCAGCTTTTCGACAGAACGCGTGACTACTTCAAAGGCCGCCCGTCGCCATACACGTGAAGGTCGGTCAGAAAGGTAGAAGCTCAACGCAAGGATGCTTCCATGGTGAAAGGACCCTTCAAAGAGAAGAGCCACAAAGGCACGAGCAGCCCAGCAGCACCTCATGCGCCCAGGCACGTGCCTAGCTGAGGGAATTGAGGTGAAACAGAAAGATCTCGGCATGAGGCAGGTGACTTGACGGGCACATCGTGCGGGTCGGTCTGCATTCAAGAATTTTGCGTCTGCCCAAGCGGTGAAACACGGCTGTCTACGGGTGCTTAGGGGGGAGTCCCGGCACTAGGGTTTGCAAGCTGTTTTTGCGGAGGCCAGCTTCCTCACTTGCACGTTGTTTTTTCCATTTAGCCGGGGTTTCTTTGTTTCAATGAGCATCGTCCTTGCGCGCACACGGCTGCTACCAGGCCGTGAAGCCCCAAGTGAAGGTGAGTTCATTTGACAAAGCCTTGATGGGAGCCTTGACTTCTTTTTTTTTACGCACGGGGTTCCGGGACAGCTGCGTCGAGAGGCTCTTCGTCTGCACCAGCGCCTCGTCGTTGATCATGATCAGCTCGCACTGGTGCGCCCCGCCGTCTCGCTCCAGGAAGACCCTCGCGCTCTGGTTGCCCAGCCGCTGTCGGGGGCCGCGCTGTTGTTGGACACTTGCAGCACGCCTTTTTCCGTCCAGCGGCAGTGAGACCCAGGGAACCCTCACCCCCCCCCACCCGAAACGGCCGCCGAGAAAGGCGAACAAAGCGCGCGCGCGCGCGCGCGCGCCGACGTGGCGTTAAGGCATGTTGCACTGCTCCTAGCTTGAACCCAAACATGAAACCCCAAAAGAACAAAGCTCGTCCGAAGCGGCCGCAGTTCTTTTTACCGGGATTGCTGAAAGTAGCACTGTGTCCAGGGCACTGGTGCGCCTGGAACAGGAGGCGCATTGACCCCCCGAAATGTGAAAAGGCAAGACAATGCGTGTCCTTGCGTGCACATGCAGTGCTTGTGGGGCGCGGCATGCGTGCCCACGCCCCAAGGTCCGGAGACCGGAAAGTCCGGAGACTCAAGGTCCGGAGACCAATGTGGGTCCGGAGACCTGGTCCGGAGACCAAAAGGCCCGGAGGCCACCAATGAAAGTGCAGAGCGTCTGCCACCTATACTTGCAGAGCCTGGTGTAGGGCAGTGCAGGGTGGGTGGGTGGGTTTCAAATGAAACCGCAGGTTTGGGTCAAGGCTAGGAGCAAAATGGCCAACGCGTAGTTCGATTCACAACATGCCCTAAACACAAGGGAAAAGAAACCCTAAGCGTTAAGGCATGTTGCACTGCTCCTAGCTTGAACCCAAACATGAAACCCCAAAAGAACAAAGCTCGTCCGAAGCGGCCGCAGTTCTTTTTACCGGGATTGCTGAAAGTAGCACTGTGTCCAGGGCACTGGTGCGCCTGGAACAGGAGGCGCATTGACCCCCCCTTCAGTGTTTCAGGCAACCCCGGTATAAGCGAGCCCGCTGGGCCGCAGGCCTCATCACCCGCCCTTCAGAGTGGGGTTGTACCTGGCAGGGCAACTGCTAGCGTGGCCATGCACGCTTTGGCTGTGAGCAGCCTGTGACGCAGGGTCTGCACTTTTTCCGGTCAGAGCGGCTTGATGCAAGCGGCTGGCTGACGTCGCCAGTTGTTCTGGCTAACAGGGCGACGACGGCCGTTTGGTCGCAAGGCATGTCGGGATGCAAATAAGGCTGGCTAAGCAGTGACGGAGGCTGCTGCCAAATGCTCCGGGCGCCAGGGCGCATGCATCGGACACAGCTGAATGCCTCGGCCTGACATCGCTAGGCCTGCAGGGCTGAAGCGTATGCGACTTTCTGGGCGATGGCTGAATCGGGCCAACCGACCTCTGCTGAGATCGTCCGCCCAGTCATTGCACCTTCCTGGAACGTGCGTCGGCTGCAGCAGCACATTATGAGCGTGAGCCCAGAAGGCTGTTAATTGCACGAAGAGTTGCAACGGCCAGGAGGTCGTGAACAACTTGTTAAGGCTGGCTTCTGTCGCGGAATTGTCCGTGCCTGAAGGCATGCTGAACGAGTAGTGCCCACCACCAATGTGGCTGTGGGTTGCTTGCAGCAGTGCCAACTGTGCCAGCGTCTCGAAGCATGCGATGTACCGCTGTCCAGGCTTGACAAGGCAAGGCCACACGGCTCGTATGTCTTGCATGTTCCAGGTCTCGGCAAACCAAACTACTTGGGAGGATGTGATTGCCCAGCCCCCGATCCCTACCAAATCGTCTTCGGCACACGCATCCGCGGCAGCCAGAGCTTGCAGCTGGTGTGGCCGCGCCAAGGGCTGAAAAGGCGAGTGCCGAAAGCATGACGCCAGCCAAGTAAGACATTGTTGGCTTGACTTGGAAAGGCTAGTGTAGGGGTTGTTAGGGTCCGCGATGCGCACCCATGTGGGCTTGCTAGTGCCAGGCACTCGCGGGATGTCCTGAGGGCAGTGCATGGTGCGACCTGAAATTTCCAGGATTTTGGAGCCCACTGTGATCCACAAGCCCGGAAGGCTATGGCTAGTTCTGAGATCCTTGTTCAAGGATGCTCTAAAAGCTGACCACATTTGAGGCGGTATCGAGTGCATTGAGCCTGGTAGGCTGTTGAGGTCCGAATACAGTGGCGCTAGCCAGGATCTGAGGTGTAGGGCAATGCTGGTAGCCCAAATGAGTAGGCCTATGCACTGCTCGAGTGTTTTGCGGGGTACCCGTCGGTTCCCCAGCAGTGCTTTGATCAGGGCGTCCAGCTTGGTTAGCTTAGCGGACACGAGCTGAATGGTGTCGTGGGAGAAGTTGATCTCCCAACCGCACCAAACAAGGCTGTCCTGGAATTGCGCCTTTTTCCATGAAATGGGCGCTGCAATGGCGCAAAAGAAAAGCACCACCAAGGCAAACATATCTGGTGAGCTATCCCGGAAGAGTGCACACAGAAGGTCGTCCACAAAGAGGAAGGCTTTGTGGGGCTTCCAGGCCAGCAATCCATGCACCTGGCGAAGCAAGAATGCGCCGGTGCGCTGCCACCAGAACGCCGAGAAACGGCCCCCAAAATGGCACACTCTGTAATGGTAGAGCTTTCCTTGAAAGGCGAAGAGTAGAAGGCCATGCTCTTCCGGGCGGACTTGCACCTGTTTGTGTGCGGCTTTGAAGTCAACGCTGGCGCCTATGAAGGCGCCTGGAGTGTCTTCTGGCTGCGTGGACAAAGCCAGGTCCGATGCCATTGGCAAGCTCAGGCGCTCTGGCAGATGGCATCTGGTATTCACTTGGCACACGGCGCTGTCCAAGACAAGGCGTGGTTCTTTCCCTTCTGCAAAGACAACGTTTAACTTGCCTACGGCAATGCCTAAGGGCCATTTTTCCCGAGCGTCGGCTATGCTAAGGCTGGTTTCTACAATCCAGTTGTTGGCAATTTCATTGCGCAGCAAGCCTTGCACGGTTTCTGGCTCGTCCTCGGCCATTTTCCAGTTGCCCTCACAAATTTCCAGATCCGGCGGCAGCGCGGAGTCTGGCTTCTTTGCCGGCCATTGAAGGCTGGGTGGCAAGGCTGACACAGCTCCTGTCGGTACCCCGTGTTGCAGAAATGGCAAGAGGGCCATGTCCGGGTCACCCCAAGAGTTGGCCAGGGCCTGCAGCAGGTGGAGTCTGTATGGCTGTCCTGCCTCGGGGCTCATGTCCGAAGGGCAGGGCAATTTTAGAGCTGTGTATGCTAGAGTTGCCACTTCCAGGCTCTCGGATGGTGAGAGGGGGCAGTCCGGAGAACCGTTTTTGATGTGTGCCAGGATTCGTGGCACCAGTTTGCGCTCATGCATCCAATGCAACCAGGGCCTGGCGACTGCTTGCAGCGGGTGTTCTGGTTTGGGACAGCACCAATCTGCGGAGGAGTGCATTCCTGCTCCGTCGCAGGTGGGAAGCCTGCAGGGCGCCAGTGCGATGGGTCTGGAGAAATCGG